CATGGATACCAAGCAGACAGCCATGTATTGATTTTACCATACAGCTCAGGATCACAGGAAATGCTTCCCAAAATATTAATGAAGCCTTTTGCATGATGTTATTCATGGACTAACACCCCTAAAAAGGGTGAGTTACAGGCGATTGTCAATGTTGAATTCAATGGTTTAAATAACTGGAATGAACAATTCTCCCTTTAATATTAAAAAGACATCACATTCTTCCACTTTCCCAGACGAATATTTTTTCTTATTTTACAAGAGGATCAATCCAAATCCTTTCCCTTTCAACTTAATCTTAAAATCTTTGTTTTTAGGTTTCCATCTATGCTCTTTTTCCTGATCATGTGCCATTTTATTGATCCATTCAATAATTATATTTAAAACCTATGATGATGCACTTAACATAGCTGTTTCCATCCCTCTGGGGTAAATTGATTCACTACTTAATATAATGTTGGAACAGCCATACTGCTTTTATGGCAGACTATACGATAATGTAGTTTGAGTGCTACTATCCCACATGTTAATAAACCAGGCTTAAATGTCATGAATGATTGATTCCTAGAATATTTTCAGCACCCAAGACACTCTCTAATCAGCTGGGTCGGTAGAGGTAATTTGCAATCAAACTTAGAAGTTGAAAGGTTATGTATGTTTTATGGAACCATTTATCCTTTTATTGCCCCGCAATGTATTTTACAGGACAACTAAAAAAACATTTATGTGTATGTTCGTGTAATTTCTCGATGTGCTTACATACATACATTGTACATAGTTTCATTTTTGGGAAGTTGCATTCCCAAAAATCTCACCACGTTCCTTTAGATTGCCAGAAGTACAGCATTTTTGGTTGTTTTTTTTTTGCCACCCTAACAGTATGGACAAATGTAGATCTTATGCTGCATTAATATCTCAGACCCTGTCTGTTATAATGCAAGACCATGATATAATATTATCTTTAAACATTTTACCCCCTGATATTACTCTGACGGGTGAACAAATACATTGTAGTGAGAAAAAGGAGGTAATCCAGTTCTTGGATTATACCTATACAGTTCTGACCGGCAGCTCAACAACCGAATATGGGTCTCTCTTCTCCGGTAAATAGAAATACGGTGGATGTAGCGCCTTGAACGTCCTTTGTGGTATATGGTACGACAAAACCAGCAGAGAATACACAGACTGACAGTATACCTTTAGTATTTGGAAGATAAGAATAAAGAGTTACACTTGCACTTTTCTGGAGCTATGGCGTAGCTCCAACTTATGCGCCTGAGTAGTATGATCACCACTTATGAATATAGTTTAGCTCTTGCTTTGCAAGTGGTTAATCCTTATGGGGTATGGTCGAAGGTCTCATGGCTATAGGAGAGCAGAATAAAATGATATAGTGTGTCAGTAGTTAGGTTTTCTATAAGTAGGTAAACACTCCCATTTTTTGGAGTCCTACAATGGTTTCTAACATATTGCGTGGAGTGGTATTATCCCCACTGTAGGATATGTGGGTGGTGCAGGGCCTCTCTAGATATGGAACAAGAAGATAAACCAATATAGTGCACACCATTGTGTCAGAGTATAAAACCAAATAGAAACTTACTTACATGGAGATGACAAAAATATGGTTTGCTCAATCCTCGAAGTGTCCTTGATCCACCACTCCAGCATCTGATAAAGAATTTCAAGCTATTGGCTAAGTATCAACAATTTGCCAACATACCATATTGGCCTCTGTTTCTTGCCAATAGTGCAGGTTAACTGATCGATGTAGAGAGACAGTGGTTTTAAGCTACAATTAATTCTCAGTTCTTGTTGCAATATCACAGTGTGACTCTGCAAATTAGCGGATACATTGTAGACTCATTTGCCTGTTGAGTTTCAGGGTGATTTCATGGGTAGCAATTGCTATCCTACATTGATTCCTAAAATTACCCTTTTGAGTACAGCTATTGCAGCTGTCCTGGGATCATGGTCCATGTATTCAGTACTAATATGAGTCCTCTCATCCAACTAGAATATTAGATTATTTGCTTTTATAAAATAGGTAGGTCACACGTAAACATATCTGAAATGTAATTCTCTTAACACAGGACGAACAGAAAACAGGTCATTGCTGAAAATAAAAATCTCACACCCACCATCCAGGAAAACAGATTTACTAAAACTGTTCAATGTGTATAATGCTCAAAAGCAGGAGAACGGTACAGGAAGAAGTTATAAGTTCCAGCCAGCTGTGTTCATTTAACTGATAAGATTTGCTGGAAAAAATACTAATTACCTTATTAAGATCAGTTAAATGGTATAATCGTTTGATTAGAAGCATAATGGTCATGGCTTGATCTGTGCGGAACGCTGATTCTAGAAACAATTGCTTTTCGGTTAATGAAGGACATCAAGGCTGCAATGTATGCAGACACTTAGATTAATTCACTGAAATAGAATGAACTAAGAGCCAAACTGCCCAATTTTGGCAAAGACGGCTAAGCTGACCATGAATGAGTTAGAGAGGTTTTCCCCTCCCCCCACCTCCTCATCCAATCTTTCCTAAATGTATTTGCCGTTCAGTAGATAACGCCTACTGGAGTCACTTCTGCAACGTTTTTTAATTCTACGAATGATTCAGATTGATTTCCTAATAACATTTGAGGCCGTCTTTATCACACTTTATTTAAAATAATAAAGTAATATAAAAGATGCACAATTCGTTAACAAGTTTACTATGTACTGGGGACTGTGGAAACATTTTATCACCCACTCGACCTTGGGTCTCATGAGTTATGACAATGTCTCTGAGTTAATATATACATTAATTCCGGTATCACAGCTGCATTGACGGATTAAGCATGCCCTCCCCCTTTCAGTGCTGAATGTTGCACGGGGTTGCTGGAGTGAAGGACATCAATAGTCGATATCGCTGCAGGGCAGATTATTGCTTTGTAAAGCTGCCGACAGCTGTACTAATGCATTACCATGGGGCATATCTCTCAAAGACAAAAGGATCAAAGCAAGTGGGGTTTTGTGCTTTTTGTTATCAACCGTTGATCAGTGTTTGTGATGGTTTTTCTGCCAAATATTCTAAGAATAGGTGATCACATACATTTGCGATCTAATTTCCTAAATAAAAGGGTATTCAAGAATTGGTTTGTCTTTTTCTTTTCTGGATAGATTGTCATACAGACATTGAAAGATTGCTGTAGGGTTTTTTCTGCCATTCAGCCCCTTGCACGTTGTTGGAAATAAATAATTGTCAAACAGTATAACTGTATATGGTAGAGTAACAGTGACTCTCAACTGGCACTAAGGAGCGTAGCTGAATATTGCCTCTTACCGTTGGTGCTGTGCATTCAGGTCCATTCTCCTGACATCTGCCTGGCCCACAATCATTTGTAGGATTGTCAGATGATAAATCAGTATTAATTGGCAGCAAATAGTTTTCTGCTGTTCAGAAGAACTTGATATTCACCACTTTGGACACATACACGGCACATGGAGGGCTTCTGTTTGGCGGTGGAAACCACATGAAGCTCGTGATGAAAAGTTCTTGAGCTGAATTTTCTAGAGGTAGTTTGGAACTTGGTAGTGAGTCGCCAACCTTCAACGTACTTGTCGTGAGGTTCTATATTTTTCCTTAGTCCCGTCCTATGTCTCGGGTGCCCAACACGTCTCGGCTCAGCTGTAGGTAGATCTGTGATCCCAAATTACAGCTCTAGACGTTGATTATGCTAGCAGGGCAGATGGTAGGTATGGTAGAAATAGCTGACAAAAATAACAAGAGGGGTTGGAACAATGTTTTTCTGGCATGATTTGTTTCATCAGTTTACAGTTACAAGCTTTAGGCACAAAATAAAAAAACGTTTAATTGCCACAGACCCAAAATACGCGAAACCATCGTTGTGTGTAACTGTCAGCCTTGAGATACTTGTTAAATGCATGCACAAGTCTTGTAGGCACCCTCTGCTCCCCAACCCCAAAAATGGCATATAAATAAATATAATGAATTTATTAACTGGAAATTCCAGGCCTAAAAACAAACTTTTATATTGGACAACTGCATATGTATAAATATGTGTGTGTGTATGTATGTGTGTATAAATGTGTGTGTGTGTGTATAAATGTGTGTGGGTGTGCGCATATTTCTCCTTGTAATGTATTGCGTTTCCCTCTGTCAGTACAGTGAGTGTATGCAGTTGTTAGAGATAAGGGATAATGCAGGGTTAAATATAATGTTAGAAGTAAAACCAAAGAAAAGAAAGTTACCTGTGCTCTCTCCTTAATCCCTATGTATATTTAGACAAATGGAGGTCATTTAGTTGCTCCAATGGCCATTGGAGGGAATGCCCACCTGCCAACGTCAAGGCAGACACCCCTAAAGCGGGTCCTAACACTGACCGTTCAGTCTGCTTCCTTGAGCTTCTGGCAAAGATATCTCTAATGAGACAGAGACGGTTATTTTTTATATACACCCCTATATACTTATTAACCCTTAATAGGGAACACATGGGATGGGCGGCAGCATTGTAACAAGGCTGTGTGATACAAAGTAAATCCAAATACAAAAAGAGAAGTCCTGCGCTCACTCCCATCACTACTGGGCCGGCAGCAATGACTACAGTACACATCAGCCCCAATATATAGTACAATATTACTATATATTGGGGCTGATGTGTACTGTAGTCATTGCTGCTGGCCCAGTATTGATGGGAGTGAGCGCAGGACTTCTCTTTTTATAATGTTAGAAGTGGTTTTATACAGTGTGTCACTCAGTGCTGTCCTATGATATACAGTGTGTCACTCAGTGCTGTCCTATGATATACAGTGGGTATCACTCAGTGCTGACCTATGATATACAGTGTATCGCTCAGTGCTGTCCTATGATATACAGTGTATCACTCAGTGCTATCCTATGATATACAATGTGTATCACTCAGTGTTGACCTATGATATACAGTGTATCACTCAGTGTTGACCTATGATATACAGTGTGTATCACTCAGTGCTGTCCTATGATATACAGTGTATCACCCAGTGCTGACCTATAATATACAGTGTATCGCTCAGTGCTGTCAGCACTGAGCGATACACTGTATATCATAGGACAGCACTGAGTGATACCCACTGTATATCATAGGACAGCACTGAGTGATACACTGTATATCATAGGTCAGCACTGGGCGATACACTGTATATCATAGGACAGCACTATCACCCAGTGCTGACCTATGATATACAGTGTATCGCTCAGTGCTGTCCTAGGACAGCACTGAGCGATACACTGTATATCATAGGTCAGCACTGAGTGACACACACTGTATATCATAGGACAGCACTGAGTGATACCCACTGTATATCATAGGACAGCACTGAGTGATACACTGTATATCATAGGTCAGCACCGGGTGATACACTGTATATCATAGGACAGCACTGAGTGATACGCTGTATATCACCCAGTGCTGTCCTATGATATACAGTGGGTATCACTCAGTGCTGTCCTATGATATACAGTGGGTATCACCCAGTGCTGTCCTATGATATACAGTGTATCGCTCAGTGCTGTCCTATGATATACAGTGTGTATCGCTCAGTGCTGTCCTATGATATACAGTGTATCGCTCAGTGCTGTCCTATGATATACAGTGTGGATCGCTCAGTGCTGTCCTATGATATACAGTGTATCGCTCAGTACTGTCCTATGATATACAGTGCATCACTCAGTGCTGTCCTATGATATACAGTGTGTATCACTCAGTGCTGTCCTGTGATATACAGTGTGTGTCACTCAGTGCTGTCCTATGATATACAGCGTATCACTCAGTGCTGTCCTATGATATACAGCGTATCACTCAGTGCTGTCCTATGATATACAGTGGGTATCACTCAGTGCTGTCCTATGATATACAGTGGGTATCACTCAGTGCTGTCCTATGATATACAGTGTATCACTCAGTGCTGTCCTATGATATACAGTGTGTATCACTCAGTGCTGTCCTATGATATACAGTGTATCGCTCAGTGCTGTCCTATGATATACAGTGTATCACTCAGTGCTGTCCTATGATATACAGTGTATCATTCCCTCTGTCCCTACTCCTCCTGCAAGGCATGGCATGTGTGGAGGGTGTTAGTGACAGATGAGAAGTGATCCCTTCCACTTCCTGTTCAGCCTCACTCACAGATGGTGGAGGAGCCTGCTCTGTCTAATGGGACATCCAGCCCTGCGCATGCATTATGTCCTCCAATACATGATCTGTGTAACGTTGTATATTTTATAGAAGCATTGCATTTTAGGAACAACTGCCGACACCTAAAAGGTTAAGAGCGATCAAAGAATAAAAATCAGAGCTTCAAATCTGTTCTAAAGATCTTACAATCTGTGCATTAGGGCCCCACAAACAGATATTTCCCATGCTCCCATTAGCATTAAAGAAGACTCCGACAGCCCATTATATGGACATTAGAAGTGCTGAGACATCAGTCTTCGCTCTCTGCTCTGTAAAGTACAGGACTATTCTTCGAATACTGCTTTCTCAGGATCTCAGTCTCTTCCCATAATGATTCGGCCCTTACAGAACAGCATCTGCTGAGAGCCGGCTTGTGTTGTATTTATAAGAAAGTTACTTTAAATCTTACTGGAAGCCAGCAGCCGGTCAGACGGTTTTAATGTTCTAAGGAGATGTTGAAAAACATTGATTCAGCATCTCTGTAAAATAAAGGAAGGAACAATGTCAGACTTAAATACTAGCAGAGCACAAAGCAATTCCACAAATAGTGCTGTTTTTTTGTTTGTGTTTTTTTTGTTCCCCCTTTTCAGTATGGAGTGCACATCTCATCACCATCAGCTAGCCAGAATTCAAGCCTGTGTCCTATTGGACCACAATGACTTTGAATGTAAACCGTTTCTCTGAGAGCAGAGGGATTAAGTTTTGCCTTTAGTAATATACACACACAGGGTATTAAGACTTGCTAATGGGAACAAATTCTGATCTTGCTGATATTTACTAAAGTGCGTTCCCGTTCTTGTGAACTCGACCGGTGCAGTTTCCTCGAGGGGCCTATTTCCATGTGAACTTACAATCTCATATTATAGTTTGCCAGATATACACAGCAACTATCATACCTCTCCGAACATACCTCCCAACATCTCAAATTTCCAAAGACACGTTGGGTTTGATGGGTGAAACTAGTGGTGCGGTAAGGGGTCATTCAATAAAAGGGCGTTTTAGGGTAGTTCATGAGCCTCCGATATCGTAACTGAGTAATAATTTAGGACAAGATAAAGTATTTTATTTTCAGTCATTTTTAAACCATTTACTATCGACACATTTCTGAGAAGCTATGTGTACTCATATTCAGCACAAATCATGAATTCCTAAAAAGAGGGACTGTCCGTCATTAAAAGGGACACTTGGGATGTATGATTATGCCTTCAGTAGTTCATTATCTGGTTTGGTAGTTGATTAAAAGAGATCTTTTGGCATGGTACTAAATAAGTCCTTGTATTACAGAGACCATGTGGTCTCTGAGTGCTTGGGACATAGCACTGTATGAGAGCTAGTTAATGAATAAGTGGTTATGGTAGTAAGGCTCTCTGTTTTGAATAAATCTGCTGGTAGGTGACAAGAAATCCCAAATATCATAAAAAGTTCTGTTCTCTTGGCTGTTGCATAAAATAAATTATATAGTGCTTTTATGCTCTGTTAAACTTAATAATTTAAAGTAATTGTGATAAAAAGTAAATTAAAATGAACCCTTTGCCTCTTACAGAGGAGGACATTGCTGGCAATGGAGAAAGAAGACGAAGATGAGAGAAATAAAACCATTGAGAGCTTGAAAACGGCGCTGAGGACAAAGCCAATGAGGTAATCTATTGTGGTTATATGGGATTGTTTAAACTTGTAAAGTGCCACTGAGGCACGAAACGCATAGACATCTTATAAACGGGGTGTAAATCCTCCCCTCCCCACCATCCCCCCTATCCCGCTACCATTTGCTGCTGTCCAGTTTAGAACTGTAAACTACTAAATAAAGGTATATTTAAGTTTTTCACTAATTGCTGCACCGGACACTTTATTTTTATTTATTTTTTCTGGAATCTCTACTTTTGAAATTTTAACTATTAAGTGTTGGCATATCTGTAGGTGTATCTGGGCACAGCAGCATAATAAACAAATCTCAATAGATTGTCCCCACTGACTGTTACTGCCAGAAGGGGCTCTCCCCATCGAGTCTGACTTGGCTGAGAATTTAGTGAAAAGTGTACTTCCTTATTGGCTGAGAATTTCCCTATCATGGCATTAACGGTGGCTGATCATTAATGTGACTCAGTGAGGATCCTGCCACCAGATAATCAGCTGGAAAAGTTTACCAATGCTTTCAACTTGTTTTTTAAATATTTCTTGGCTGTGGTGAAGATTTTCATTGAGTGAGTTTCCGTGTACAGTAGCCACGTGTTTCATTGTAGCGTGGCAACTTTCTCAAGTAGTTCTAAGGATTAATATCCATGGAGAGCAAACATGGGCAGTGCCACAAACCTAGCCACAGTCTGTTTACCTGTATCAGACGTTTGTTAATCCGTTACTATGGGAAACGTCATTGTATTCTTTATCACTATCTCACACTGTCTCAGGCTGTCACTCTAGAATACACTCCTTCAGCTGGTCTTTAACGCCCACTAGAATATATTGAGACCTTCTCAGGCTCTACATTCAAGGAAGTGCCAATAGACAGAAATTCCATTTCTAACATTCTGGAATTTTCACGTGTTGGTGTCACAGCAGTTTTTGTTTTTTCGTGCTCAGCCTGAACATTCAATGCTTTGATTTAAAAAGACAGGGACCATACTGGCAATGCTCATTGCTAAATGCAAGCTACCCAGTCCTATATAACATATAGAGACAGCCCATAGATGAAACCCAGAAAGGATCCAGCCTGAGCAGAAATGCTATGTACTGATTAAACTGTGCCTTCTTGTTGATGTATTTATTTTTATTTATTTATTATTGCCATTTATATAGCGCCAACAGATTCTGTAGCGCTTCACAATATTATGAGAGGGGATTTAACTAGAAATAGGACAATTACAAATAAACTTACAGGAACAATAGGTTGAAGAGGACCCTGCTCAATCGAGCTTACATTCTATAGGAGGTGGGGTGTAAAACACATTAGGACAGGAATTTGCAATCAAATAAGGTGGGCTGCCCTTTAGGAGAGGGCAAGAGACAGGTATGTGAGGTAGGGGTTAGTCTTGGAGGCCATAAGCTTTCTTAAAGAGATGGGTAGACTGCCCTTATAATTTAAAAGGAAATACTTCCATGTTGCAGTTCCTCAGACCAAAAAACACCAGCCATCTCTCCACCAACCAAGGGGTTACATGTGTGTACAGTAGTAATTGGGCTGTTCTTAAATTTGCTGACTTGTTTACTTCTCCGTTATTTTGTGTAGGTTTGTGACCAGATTTATAGATTTGGATGGATTAACATGCATCTTGAACTTCCTAAAAAGCATGGACTATGACATAGCAGAGTCCCAAATACATACCTCTCTCATTGGCTGCATCAAGGCACTAATGAACAATTCCCAGGGACGAGCTCACGTCTTGGCCCATTCAGAGAGCATCAACGTCATCGCACAGAGTCTCGCAACAGAGAACATAAAGACTAAAGTGGCCGTGCTGGAAATTATGGGTGCTGTCTGTTTAGTTCCCGGAGGTCACAAGAAGGTTTTAGAAGCCATGCTGCACTACCAGAAATACGCCAGCGAGAGGACACGCTTTCAGGTAACCTTCGGCCTCGACAGACCAAGAGAACCATTCAACTTCATTACCATTCTCGAAAGACCATGTAATAAGCATGTATCATAGAACTGAAATACCAGCAAAACTGTGTCATTTCTAAAACATTCACTGCCCTAAAAGCTAATGATCTGAAAAGTAGGTGTTGTACGGGAGCTTTATTTCCATGTCCGTGAAGTTCATTGTGACATTTGTGCTGTTCAGGACATCGATAGTAACTAAGATAAAAAGATCCAGTCTACAGACCATGAAAGCTGATTCCTTTATTTGCTCTTTGTGATAACCATACACTGTATACAGGCACAAAGGGTAACATACAAAGAATCCATATTAAGTGATTGATGTTAATTTAAAGCACGTAGTGCATGCGCAAAGAGCTCAAATATATGGTACAGTGAAAGTGCAAAGGGGGCAATTGAAGAGAAACCCTTGGAAAATTTGCTTCTGGATTTTGGTAAATAATTTAAGACACAAAATGTACACGTCTTCAT